GGGGGGGAATGACATAAATTTAATTTGGTTGCAGTGTTGCATGACCGCGCAATTCTCAAAGTATCGTCGTATTACAAAAAATGGCCTGATCAGGAAGGGGGGTAAATCCTCATATTGGGATTTTTTTTTTAGCAAGACATGGCAGAATACATTTTGGCCTAAATTTAGGACGAAATTTTATTTTTTTAATTTTTTTACTGCACATGTTTAATAGCAAAAAGTCAAAAATATTGTTTTTTTTTTTTCTCAAAATTGTCGGTCTTTTATAGTGCAAAAATAAAAAATACACAGGCAATCAAATACCACCGAAAGAAACCTCTATTTTTGGGGAAAAAAAAGGACATAAATTTCATTTGGGTGCAGCGTTGCATGACAGCGAAATTGTCAGTTAAAGTAACGCAGTGCCGTAATGCAAAAACTGGCCTGGTCAGGAAAGGGGGTAAATCCTCTGGAGGGCAAGTGGTTAATAAATTGTAATAGTGTTTACTGCACTATGAGACCTAAGTAGATTAGGTGGTGTAGCGCTAATATCATGTAATAATTGATATAAAAAATTTATAAAGAACTCGATATTAAATGGGTGCATACCCAAATTATATGAATAAATATATAGGTGTACAGTGGTGCACCTAATGTGTATCCCAAAATCATGCCATCAAAAATGTGACTAAATATAAGTGATAGGTGATTTAAGTGAAAATATATAAATACATGTGATCATAAATGAACAATATTCATAGAACATATAGCACGAAGTCCCAAACGTATAACTGTGATGAATCAATCTTCAACTGTGAAAATGAATACATGCACAAGTGCATCAGACCATCTGTCACCGTTGAGCGTGCACGCTTACCTCCAATCTTTGACCCTCAAGGAGTCATAAGGCATAACAAATCACCAGTTAGTCCCAGGTGGGATGAATCTCACTCTCTGGATGGACACAGGATCAGCTTCCACACAGCCCACAGTTAATCAACCATTAAAATGGTAAGGCACCTTTACAAAACCCCTCCACTCTCCCAATGGCTCATAAACAGGGAATCAGAGAAAAAGCCACCATAGTGTAACATAGTAAAGTTTATTATACCATACACAAATGCCAAAGACCTACTCACACATAAAAATCGGGTCATAGACCCACCAGGCATGAATTATATAACCCACAGTCAGGGTGCTTGCATAGGGAGTCCAACGATGGCTGCCGTCCGAGCGTAATTGCGTCACCAAGTTCTAGCCCAACATGTTGCGTCACGATAACACGTGACTTCTTGCTGCGTTTTTGGAAAGGGTCAGGGACTTTTTTAAAAGCAAAAAGCAGTATTTTTGCTACAATAGAGTTCGATGGAGAATCTGCTGAAATGCATGGTAGTGCTTTTTTGCCATGTTTTACATTTGTATTCTGCTCAGCAAATAAAATTCCACTTTTTAAAAAAATAAAATTGTGTCCTAAATGTAGACCAAAATGTATTCTGCTACATGTCTTTGCTAAGAAAAAATCCCAATATGTGTAAATTAATTGGTTTACGTGAAAGTTATAAGCGTTTACAAATGGTAGTATATATACCAGGCTTTTTTTTTCGTTTTTTTGTAATGGCGATGATCAGCGACTTATAGCAGGACTGCGGTGGACATTCTGACACTGGAGGGGGGGACTGACTTGGGGTCACTGACATCCCCAGTGACACTAATACCTTTTTTTTTCCCATAAAATGGAGCTTTCTTTTGGTGGTATTTTATCACCTGTGCGTTTTTATGTTTTGCACTATAAACCAAAAAATAAAAAAACAATTTTGAGAAAAAAAGCTATTTTTGACTTTTTGGTATTAAACATGTCCAGTAAAAAAAAAATTTTAAAAAATCTAATTTTGTCATAAATTTAAGCCAAAATGTATTCTGCTCCATGTCTTTGCTAAAAAAAAAAATTCATCCCAATACGTGTAAATTAATTGGTTTATGTGAAAGTTATAGCGTCTACAAATGGCGGGGTATATATACTGGGATTTTTTTTTTCTTTTATACTAATAATGGCGGCGATCGGTGACTTATAGCGAGACTGCGGCGGGCATTCTGACACTGGGGGGAACTGGCTGTCACTGACATCCCCAGTGACACTAATACAGTGATCAGTGCTAATAAAAAGCACTGACACTGTACTAATGACAACGGGCAGTGTCTTTTACTGTGTCAGCACATTGCCTTGTATGGCTCTACATACCATACGGCCATACAAAGCAGTGTGCTGGAGCTGACAGGGGAGAGATCTGTATGATCTACACACAGGTCTCTCCCCTGTCAGTGATACTCTGTGATCGTCGGGTGCCAGCGGGGAATCACCGGCCGGATCCTGGTGATTGACAACTGAGGCCGCCCAATGCCCCTACCTGAAAATGCAAAATCACGTATATATAAGTGATTTTCCGCAGCCCTGCCGCCCTGTAGCAGTAATTCTGCTATAGGGCAGTGGGAAAGCCGTTAAGCTGTTATAGCAAACTTTTTTTTTTTTTTTTTTTTGCCTTTTGCGATAAAGGTTTTACATAAGTGAATAACCATTCACTGACCATTATAAGTACCCCTGTCAGTGTTAAATGGTTTACCTAAACCCTCTAACTGGTACATCTGCAGAACAGCTTGTTCTATTGAAACAACAGACTAACTGGATAGATTACCAGGTGAAAAAGTTTTGCCTTTGAATAAACTTTAAAGTGGTATTAAACCCCAAAAATGTCATACATTTTTGTCATGCAGCATACCAGTCATTAGATGAGGTGGCTGCATTCATTTTCTATTTTGGGCTTTTTTCTCCTCTGTTTTCACCTGATGATCTGGATAGTAACACACCTCCTGTACTAGAGTGCCCAGGGCTGCTGTTAGAAACCATGGGGCCCCATACAGCCAACCTGACAGCCCCCCCCCAACCCCCAAAAAACAGTTAACTTTCTTCAGTTGTGAATGAACACAGTGAGTGATCAGTTTTGATCACTCGTTGTGTTCTTTCAGGAAAGGAAGTGACTGGTAACATATTTATCATACCCTTCCCCCACTCTCCATCCTGAAGGATCCTATTGTGTGCTTGCAGTTGACGGTGGGAAAGAGAGGATGGAACCTGGCAGCACTGGGGGGTGGAAGCACACATGGGGGCCTGGGGGGGGGGACGTATGGTATACAGGGAGGGTGATGGGGGAGGAACAATGACTGGAAATTATCCCCTGTATTAGTCTCTCTGCAGCAGCTAAAAGTGGGAGGGAGAAGAGAAGACGCCAGCTGCTGCAGAGAAAGGCCATACAGGGGGTTGTTCCAGTAATTGCCCCCCGCCATGCTGATCACCCTCCCTTCCCACATCTGATTCACTCAGCTGCCTGGGCCCCGTACAAGAGGACTGGTGGTACCCTTTTATCTACGGCCCTAAGAGTGCCTACACTCTGGATGAAGGAGCACAGGGACACCTTTAGACAGCAGCATTGTTAATATGGGAGAGGGGAGTGTTAGATGTACTAGTAGATGTAAAGGAAGAGTAAGGGCAAAGCCATTTTAGCCCTACTTCTCCTGTGGGTCACTGAAGTGCACTTCAGTCTACACTACTGTGACCCAATGGTTCAGGCTTTGGAGAAATCCTGACTTTAAAGTCGAAAGCCACCCAGATTCCTGACCTGGCTCAAACTCTTAATGAGCAGCTAAGAACCTGAGCCAGCCCCTTCTGCCCCCTCCACAACCCGGCACTCCAGTGAGCGCTGCGGGGATGTGGGGGCAGAGCAGAATCGGTCACCATCTCTCTGCTCATTGAAGACCAAGAACTGAGCGATCAGCGGTCTTTGATCACTCAGTTCTTGGACTTAGAGTTGGCGCGGAACAGATGCAGCATTGGACCATTGTTGCGTCCACCTAGGTATGTATGTATGTATGTTTACTTTTTGAAATCCCAAAAAGTGTTAGTCCATAGGGTTCAATATTGAGTTGGCCCACCCTTTGCAGCTATAACAGCTTCAACTCTTCTGGGAAGGCCGTCCACAAGGTTTAGGAGAAGTGCATTTGTGAGGTCAGGTGACGTCGGATGAGAAGGCCTGGCTCGCAGTCTCCGCTCTAATTCATCCCAAAGGTGTTCTATCGGGTTGAGGTCAGGACTCTGTACAGGCCAGTCACGTTTTTCCAACCCAAACTCACTCATCCATGTCTTTATGGACCTTGCTTTGTGCACTGGTGCGCAGTCATGTTGGAACAGGAAGGGGCCAACCCCAAACTGTTCCCACAAAGTTGGGAGCACGAAATTGTCCAAAATGTCTTGGTATGCTGATGCCTTAAAGTGTTATTAAACCCACAACAATAAAATCAGTCTGTATATGCAGTAAAGCATGATTGCTATACTCACTGTATAACCTAAGGGATTAATCCTCTGCTTTGTGTAAAAAGGCTGTTTGATCCTGTTTTCTCTGCCCCTCCTCTTGCTCAAATGTCCACCTGATAAGACAGACTGAACCTGTAGCCACATGCACATGCTCAGTTTTAGTGTGTATTGCTAGAGAGGTTTTTTTTTTCTTGGTAGAGTGCATCAGCACAGGACCAATCAGTACTGTCTAGACAGAGGTCAGGGGTTTTGCATCCTAGAGCAGAAATAAAACTACTCATTCAAGTTTTAACCAGTGCTCAGCTGAAGTCACAAGACTGCTCTAACTGCTGATGAGAAAAGGTATTTAGCAGTTTATATTTACTAAAATAATTGCATTTCCATATTGTGTGTACTGTGGGAGACCAGATATAGTGAATGCAGGGTCCGGGGTTTAGTAACATTTTAAGAGTTTCCCTTCACTGGAACTAAGGGGCCAAGCCAACCCCTGAAAAACAACCCCACACCATAATTCCCCCCTCCTACCAAACTTTACATTTGGCACAATGCAGTCAGGCAAGTAGCGTTCTCTTGGCAACCGCCAAACCCAGACACGTCCATCAGATTGCCAGACAGAGAAGCGCAATTCATCACTCCAGAGAACACGTCTCCACTGCTCTAGAGTCCAGTGGTGGCGTGCTTTACACCACTGCATCCGATGCTTTGTGTTGCACTTGGTGACGTAAGGCTTGGATGCAGCTGCTCGGCCATGGAAACCCATTCCATGAAGCTCTCTATGCACTGTTGTGCTAATCTGAAGGCCACATGAAGTTTGGAGGTCTGTAGCTATTGACTCTGCAGATAGTTGGCGACTTCTGCACAGTGTGCATTTCATCATGTGCTGACCCCACTCTGTCATTTTACGTGGTCTACCACTTTGTGGCTGAGTTGCTGTTGTTCCCAGTTGCTTTCACTTTGTTATAATACCACTAACAGTTGACCGTGGAATATTTAGTAGTAAGGACATTTCATGGATGGACTTATTGCACAGGTGACAACCTATCACGGTACAACGTTTGAATTCAAGAGCTCCTGAGAGTGACCCATTCTTTCACAAATGTTTGTAGAAGCAGTCTGCATGCCTAGGTGCTTGATTTTATACACCTGTGGCCATGGAGGGGATTGGAACACCTGAATAAATGATTTGGAGGGCTGGCCTAATACTTTGGCAATCTTGTGTATGTTTGTATATACAGTTTGTGTGTTTTTGTGTATGTATGTGTGTGTGTGTGTGTATGTGTGTGTATATATATATATATATATATATATATATATATATGGGGTATACTCTGCAGATTTCCATACCGTTTACTTGTTAATCTATAGACAGGTATTAGAAGCCCACAGTGAGGCATGACCCATATCACATACATTGAAGTGTTTTGGGTTCCCTTCTTCTATTTGCTCTACAAACAGCCACTTGTGTGAGTGTAAACATATTAATACACACGGTATAATGGATACATATTGTATCATAACACAAACCTGTGTTACAGTATCGGACTAGCTTCCACCGCCACAGACAGGTTTTTTCTCCCTGAAACTTGTGCTCTGGTCATCTTGGCTTTTAACCAGACATTTAAACGGTAGAGCAACCACAGCTGTCAAAAGTAGCAACAATCTTCGCCCTTTGCGGAGAGAATGGAAATTGATGGGTAGGCTGTTCACATTGCAAAGGAATTTTTTCCTTACATAATAAGTTCATGCTTACATAAAAAAGATAAAAAAGAAAAAAAGATACAGGTCCATCCAGTTCAGCCTATGTTGTGTGTACATGTGTGTGAATTATATTCTGCAACAATTCCCAGAGCCCTGTATATGCCACTTTATGAAGAAGACATTTAAAAAGTTTTTTTTTTTTTTTTTATAAGTTGTCAGAACAAGAGAGATAAAAAGATCAGCTGTATAATGTGATGGCTAGTATATTAACCAAAAAATATGTATAAGCTACAAAAATGGCTTCTATCCCAACGGCTTCTATCCCCACGCTTTAAATAACGGGGAAAGTGAAATCCTGACAGAATATAAACATATACAGTGAGGAACAGAAGTATTTGAACATCCTGCAATTTTGCAAGTTCTCCCACTTAGAAATCATGGAGGGGTCTGAAATTCACATTGTAGGTGCATTCCCCCACTCTGAGAGACAGAATTTAAAAAAAAATTTCAGGAAATCACATTGTATGATTTTTAAAGAATTTATTTGTCTTGCACTGCTGAACATAAGTATTTGAACACGTAACAAACAGCAAGAATTCTGGCTCTCAAAGACCTGTTACTGTGCCTTTAAAAAGTCCACCTCTACTCCACTCATTAATCTAACTTAGTAGCACCTGTCTGAGCTCTTTAAAGACACCTGTCCACCCCACAGTCAGTCAGACACCAACTACTACCATGGGCAAGACCAAAGAGCTGTCAAAAGACACCAGAGACAAAATTGAGGACCTCCACAAGGCTGGAAAGGGCTACGGGGCAATTGCCAAGCAGCATGGTGAAAATAGATCAACTGTTGGAGCAATTGTTAGAAAATGGAAGAGGCTAAAGATGACTGTCAGTCTCCCTCGGACTGGGGCTCCATGCAAGATATCACATCGTGGGGTATCACTGATAAGAAAGGTGAGGAATCAGCCCAGAACTACAAGGGAGGAGCTGGTCAATGACATGAAGAGAGCTGGAACCACAGTTTCAAAGGTCACTGGTAGAACACTATGCCGTCATGGTTTCAAATCATGCATTGCACGGAAAGCTCCCCTGCTCAAGTCATCACATGTCCAGGCCCGTCTGAAGTTTGCCAATGACGATCTGGATGATCCAGAGGAGGCATGGGAGAAAGTCATGTGGTCAGATGAGACCAAAGTAGAACTTTTTGGTCTAAACTTCACTCGTCGTGTTTGGAGGAAAAAGGATGAGTTGCATCCCAAGAACACCATCTCTACTGTGAAGCATGGGGGTGGTAACATCATGCTTTGGGAGTGCTTTTCTGCTACGGGGACAGGACGACTGCACTGTATTCAGGAAAGGATGAATGGGGCCATGTATTGTGAGATTTTGAGCAACAACCTCCTTCCCTCAGTCAGAGCATTGAAGATGGGTCGTGGCTGGGTCTTCCAACATGATGACCCAAAGCACACAGCCAAGATAACCAAGGAGTGGCTCCATAAGAAGCATATCAAGGTTCTGGAGTGGCCTAGCCAGTCTCCAGACCTAAATCCAATAGAACATCTTTGGAGGTAGCTGAAACTCCGTGTTTGCTCAGCGACAGCCCCGAAACCTGACAGATCTAGAGGAGATCTGTGTGGAGGAGTGGGCCAAAATCCCTGTTGCAGTGTGTGCAAACCTGGTCAAGAACTACAGGAAACGTTTGACTTCTGTAATTGCAAACAAAGGCTTCTGTACCAAATATTAACACTGATTTTCTCAGGTGTTCAAATACTTATGGTTCAGCAATGCAAGACAAATAAATTCTTTAAAAATCATACAATGTGATTTCCTGAATTATTTTTTTTAAATTCTGTCTCAGAGTGGGAATGCACCTACAATGTGAATTTCAGACCCCTCAATGATTTCTAAGTGGGAGAACTTGCAAAATCACAGGGTGTTTAAATACTTCTGTTTCCTCACTGTAAAGTGTAACAGAGCTGCCATTTTAAATAATAAAATGAACAAATATATGAGTAATGAAAACGTCCTCATTAACAGCACTCTGTTAAATTAATTTTACCCTAAAAAACAAAGTATCATATATAAATCAATAACACATAAAAAGAAAAGAAATAAAGAAACTTCCACCAAAGTGTGCAAAATGTAAAATAAAGTTCATTTCATTGCTGAGTTATTCCTTTTAAGGTTGTTCAATCCACCATCATTGTGATCCTCCAGTGACTAAGGCTGGCCATACATTATACAATTTTCTTGAGATTTTTGCTTTAGATTTACTAAAAACCATATAATATGAGGTCTAATATGAGGTCAAACCTAAGCAACACTTTCAACTGAATCCAATTAGACATGTCCTTGCAGTACATACTTGAAGGTAAATCTAAAGGAAATTGGGCAGAAAATTGTAGTGTATAGCCAGCCTTACACCCCATTACATTGAACACTCACCAGATACTGGTGAGTAACCAGCAGTGGAAAATCAAACTCCTTGGTGCTGAATGATTACAGGACCGACAGGAGGCTATTCAACCTCAGTATCACAGAACAAGACCACCATCCATCCAATTTTTTGATCTCTCTCCTTCCAACCTCCTCATCATCAAGATTTACTCTTTGTAATCCAACACACTTTCCATGGAGGACTCTGAGTGGGAGCAGCTCCCTCCTCTGTACTGGAAACTTGGCAGGAAATGAAGTCTCATGGAAGTTCCATAAACATGACTCGTTCCTGTGTCCCAGTGCACAACCCTGCCCGGGGCTAGTCATTACTAGGAGGAGAGTGATCAATATTTGGATGATCTTGTTCTGTGATACTGAGGTTGAATAGCCCACTGTCAGTCCTATTACCCCATATGTATGTACCCCATACTCATGCACATGGGGGGCAGGATCTGGGGGTCCCTTTCCAGATTCCAATAAGCCCCCTGCCCACAGACCTCCACAACCACAAGCCATGGTTGTGGGGAAGAGGCCCAGTATGGTTCGGGGGGGGGGGGGGTCTCGCTCATCCAGGCATGCCTGGATAAGGGGTTGGTACGAATTTGGGGGGGGGGCATTTTTTTTTTTTTTAAATTTGCCGTGGGTTTCCCCCTCAGAATCCATACCAGACCCGAAGGGCTTGGTATGAATGGGGGGGAACCCACAATGTTTTTAATTCTTTAATTGCCGGCAATTCTTTTTACATTCAGCTGTCAGAGGGGAATCTCGCTGACAGTTGAAATATTAAAGAATGTCTTCACTATTAAAATACCGCATGGCCTAATTATATAACTCATGCAGTATTTTAGTAGCTGTGCGGTATCTTACCGCATACTCAGATGTTCAAAGTTTGCAATCAAACGTTCGGTAGGTTCAAAGCTTCAGCCCATCACTACCACTGCACTGTCTTTTTTTTTTTTTTTTAATTCTTTTATTTAAAATCTCTTAAAGTATAAAACAAACTTTACATAAACAAAACAACAACATTTCCCATACAATAAGCAAATCCCACAATTTTCCTCCCACCCACAAAATATCACAAATTTTCCTTCAAAACCTTTCCACTCTTCCACTGCTGTCCCTTCACCGTTTTACTTCACCCTATTAAAAAAAAATTTGCAACACAACCAAATATGCAAAAATGAACACACAATTTAACCCTACCTCCCCAAGAAAACACACAAAAATAACATAACCACCCACCTCCTCCTGAATGGAAAAAATAAAATAAATATATATATATATATATATATATATATATATATATATATATATATATATATATATAGTGTGCGTATACGTGTATACATATATATATATTGTGTGTGTATATGTATGTATGTGTGTATGTATATGTGTATATATATATATATTTACAACATTTCACACCCACTTCCCCACTTCACAAAATTTCCACACACCCCTTATAATTAAAATATCCCACCCACTTACATACCCATACCATACCACACATATTCACAGTGCATAATTTACATATTATCTGCTCCACTTTCCATTCCTTTAGCTTCCACATCTCTTGGGCATTACCATATCCCACACTTCTAGAATCTTAACCACTTGCCTCCTGAGGATTTACCCTCCTTAATGACCAGGCCTCTTTTTGCTACTCGGCGTTGCACTAATTCAACTGATAATTGCGCGGTCATGCAATGCTGCACCCAAACGAAATTTACGTCCTTTTTTTCACACAAATAGAGCTTTCTTTCGGTGGTATTTGATCACCTGTGCGCTTTTTATTTTTCACGCTATAAACAAAAAAAGACCAAAAATGTTGAAGAAAAACGATATTTTATAATTTCAGCTATAAAAAATATATAGTAAACTCAAAGTTAGTTATAAATTTAGGCCAAAATGTATTCTGCTACATGTTTTTGGTAAAAAAAAAATCCCAATAAGTGTTTATTGCTTGCTTTGTGTGAAAG